TATTTTATTTAGTACAGCTTCATTAAATAGTACAGTACAGAATTTGAAAAGGTACAGTACGGAGGTTCTATATACCCCTGCGATCTTCATGGCGGAGACATTGTTTCGGATAACAATACTCATATATATGTGATCTTGGTCAGTGAATTCACGCGAGTCAAATTCAACCATTCGAGGCGTTTACCCAGAAATCGGACGCGTATTCTTTTGACGCTGATCCTGATAAACGTCCAGAGAATGGAAGGATGTTTATATTCAAGTTTACAATGTTAATGAAAAGCTTTTCTAATGACAGCACATTAGGATGCTGTGTATCATAATAATGTAAAACCGTAAATATTCCAGTACGCTATTACCTACTGATTCTGCTGCAAGTATGAAAACAACAATTGGTTATAAATGAAGTCAATTTACGGTATTAACATCCTCTTATTGTCTAACAATTTAGCTCTTGTAATTCGCGGTTTATTACGAGTTTTACTCAAGGGTTCAGATCAGATAACAAACATGTCAACATGAGTTGAGTTAAAAAGATAGAATCCTGCACGTTTACTGTTAGCTGTCTTTGCCAGAGGTTAGACTATTTGAATATACTGTATGGTAACAGAGTACATTATTGATGCTGAGTAAATGCGTGACTACTGGCCGATGAAGTTTCATTGTCAATTTAGCACCAGTTGGAATGTTGCACGTTCCCTAACATTGTTTTCATACCTTTCCCAAAATGTCCCATGCGCGTTGCAAGATTATCTTCATCGTGATTGCTTTCATTTAGACATTGGATAATAGCATTTAAAACGCGAGGAGGCAAGAACCCTGTAGATGACGACCAAGCCTGCTCGAAATCTTCCGATTAAAGAAAATGCTTGACACTTTGTAAAAACCAATACCTTAGTTCATCACTTTGTACAATAATTGGGGTATAAAAATATAGTGTGCTGAAACTTTATATTTATACATGTTAAGAATAAAGGAATATACATTAACAATAATATTCGGTAACAAATTGATTTGTTATACAAACCATCTCGTATTTGTTCACTGGCATTATACATAATACATTGGATATTTCTGAGCAAACTCGGAATTGGTCATCCTAAACTGACCGTCAAGGAAATGAGATCGCGCCCTTTTTGCCGCACAATGTGCGTAATACGCCGGTGCAGGAACAGCAACTGCTCTGCTCGCCCGTTGAAAGTTATAACAGAGTTTGTTCGTAAAGTCCTGAAGTTCATCTACTTCAAATTGATTTTCATCGTACAGAACGTGATATAGACGTGGACGCGATGTTCCTTGAGTACTAGAGTGAGAGGTGAGGTAGAAATTAAAAAGGTAAGGATGCGTAATTACTCGCTCGACAACTAGACCGGGTTTCACGTTTCCTCTTGTGCCGACATCTAGCTCGTCTATAGGATAAAATCGACCGACATGTCTCTTGGTGACAACAATATATGAGATTTTTGGTTTATATTCAGAATTCAGCCTAGCACAGGCTTTTTTGATACAAGGGAGTTCCTTATCCAATGCCACACGTTGGAACTCGCTTTCGCTGATGCCGTCTCTGTACATGACAATGCTTGCAGGAGGCTCTTTGTTCGTTCGTATGAATTCATGCAAAAGCTGATACGTCAATTCTTCCATATCATAGATTTCTTCTCTTGTAAACTGTTCTTTATGTCTCTCAGCATACCGGGCGGCATGTCTATCGATAGATCCAACTACTGCTGCGATTGATGGAGAATGAGACCCCGGTGAAGGATGAGTGACGTCTGCTCCCATGACCATGGTTCGTTCGCTATCGATTTGCGGAAGATCAACAGCAGAATTGGTCCCGTTGAGTTTCAAATTCAGTTTTGCAGTAATATCCGCAAGATAGTGTGTTTTGCAGCGTTTGACTAGCTGTGATTGTATACATTGAGACAAAATACCAATTTGAGTGTCCATGACTTCTTTGACAAGATTGTACTGTTTTTTGTTCATATGATGTTTACCATGGTCGATGAAAAATACGACTAATTGTAGGTTTTTTGCTTCTTTCTTGGCGTCTTCTACTGCTTCGATAATCTTTTCGCGAATTTGTTCAGCTTGCCACTGAACGTATTTGGGCGGCATAAAATCACTAGCAATGTCCATGCCTTGAGTTTTAGCTTGTCGGACTAGATTATTCATAAACAGATTAATGTTACCTGGAGAAACTGCTTGTGTTAATGAAATAGCCAACCATTCTCTTAAAGCATTGCCAGGTTGAAGATATTTCACGTCACGGAGATTCCAAGTTGCATCCAAATCCTTTGGCTTAACTTGTGCGCCTTGTTTAGATGAAGCAGAGTATGAAACTACTGGAATACTTATGAAGCGGCCGGGTACATTAGCTATTTGCGTATTGAGTCTGATTCCGGCTTGCTGGAGTAGTTCGTTGCTAAACGACAATAGGTCACGGACAACATTCAACATAAATTGTACGTTTTCCGCAGGGTGCTTGGCAGTAATCCTGCTTATTTCAGCATGTTGGTTTCCGTTTAAATTCTTACAATAAGGATAGCGTTGTCCCTACAATTTGAGCAGAAATATTTCGCTTTGTCTTTAATGAATTCAGTTCATTGGAATGCAAGCATTTTAATCTCAATTACCATACTCCGCTATTACGATTTACAGTCAAGTCTAAACTTTACCTCAACGACGCCAAGGCATTCAATAGGGAGACAGGTAAATCTTCGACTTTCTACGACATATGGCGTGCTAAGATTTATGTTGTGCTTATGTGCGAAATAATCCTTAATACTCTCTTCCTTTCCAAGTTGTGAATTGAAAAACTTGATTTCAGTCGCAGGTTTGTCATGTAACTTTTTGATAGTCGTTACGATGTGAGATTCTGGACGATGCAATAATTTAAAATCAATGTATCGAAAATTGTGCTGGAAAGCACTGTTCACGCGTTTCATTATGTCGTTTCTGAATAAGTTTGGTAATGTCTGTGTGTCAAGAAATTTGCAAATTAACGTGCATAGATCGGTCGGCTCGACAATAGGAGTATAAGTCACATATACGTTCATAAACAACTTTCTTCCTAGTAAAACAGAAAAGCAAACAGGTAAACTAACAAAGAATGCTAAAGTTTTTCAAACAAAAATTATATGTCGCCACTAATTTACCTCTTCCGTCTCCTTCTCCTGGACGTACATGAAGTCGATATCCTTGTAATAACGCTGCACCTTTTCCGAGTAATCTTATCGTTTCAGGCATATATAAACAATTACGAAAAAAACAGACAAGTCGAAGGCTAGGGTTGTATTGAAGAAATGCATCTAAAGCGCCCAGCATCTGATTGTTACAGTCTGACTCAAACGAATTTCCTGTCAAGACTCCTTCAAGATCATCCATTGAGACTGTTGGTTTGGCCGTGTTTTCTTTGATTCTTACATAGTAATCGCCATCATGTTCAACTTCGAAAACTTTGCCGATCTGATTATTGTTGTCGAGCGTGAGTTTACCGGTCGTGAAAAGCTTGGAATCACCATCGAATGCCACGCCGTCCACACCTTCAAAGTAAACTTCTTTATGTTGTTTATGGAAAGCGGTGAAAATATGTCGATAATGTCTTCTCATAACAGGAGCAAGTTGAGCCGGTGATCCTTCACGCTTAGGAGTATAGCGTTTGAATTCTATGGCATACTGGTAAAAGGTCATGTCATTTGCTTCGACTTCGAACATATTTGCCAATACTTTAGTTTGGCGGTCTCTGGAACCTGTTCTCCCCTCGTCGCCATAGCCAGGACGTTTGTAAAGTGTGAATTCTGATGCCATGGCATTTGCCAAAGTCCTCGCTCTCTAAAATTTGTGTTGATCATTGCCATATAAATTTACGATTTTATTGGTCACATACTGTATTAGTATTAGTATTAGTATTAGTATTAATATATACAAAATACACTATAGAGAATATCAGTAAGTTAATCAATAATTAAAAAACATCAGTGGTTAATTATGCTTAGCGTTAATAATAATAACAACTTGTATTATTAATTTTATGTATTAGTATCAAATAATTGCTTATCGCGATGGAGAAAGGCATTAAGTCATAGCATTCACTAGTAAATTGTACTAGTTTAGGACCATATTCATTAATCCTTCTCTTTCTATGATAATAAATTAAGTTACATTATTTATATTGTCTTTTATATTTTGTTTGCATAATAAAAAACTCACAACTTTTTCTAAAATAATAAATTTTTCTTATTTTATAATAATAACGAAAAATAAAGACCTCTTGTTTATCGATTAGATATTAGGCAACACACTGTTTGAAAATTTTTTTGAAATCTAACAAAGATGGGTACTTAATTTGACCAATTATTATTCCTCCACTATGTCGAACAAAATTATGTGGACAGATTATCTATTTATACTACATAGGATACAGGAGAATGTTATAAAAGTGTAAGTAAATAATTGTAACAACAATGGAGTATTTATTAAATTATCAGTCAAAAGACTTGTGTGTATAAGATTTCTATATTTTGAAAAGTGCGATAATGAGTGAAAAAATTACACAACATATTGAATAATTACATCGGTGTCTTTATTGTAATTGTCGAAATAAACACAGTAGTCCAGCAATGCTCTGACTATTTCCTACCTCCTACACATGGCGAAATTGTTTTCTGTCCGACTTTGGTATGCCATATTAATATTCATATTAATATTCGAATATTGGTTGAGTCAAGAAGTAGTTGGACCGTTTTAAAATGGTTGGGCCAGAACCTTTTTATCGAGTTGGCAATTGTAGCGTGACGACGAAGTGAAAAGCAAAAATTATTACACTATGCCTTTTAAGAAGCTTTAAAAAAAGATCTGCAATTCATATTGTGTTTGCGCGCCACTATATTAACGTTATCACTTAAATCTTAAGTTTTAGTTTGTATCACTTGATAATCAGGGGTTTGTTAGACAATAAAATCTTACGTTAACGCCATTATTAATAGTAAATAGATAAATTCTCCTTTCTCGCAGCCTCTAACGACTGCATCTAGTAAGCAAATAACATGATATTGTACCATCCTGAAGACAAATTGGCTGTACTTTTCGGAAAATGACGAAGGTGAAGTTGCGATATGTACGATACGTTACACATTTGTAATCATAGCAAAATACGTGTGTGTAACCTATCGCTATTGCTGCCACACTTCCAACTAACGATAATGGGTTAAATAAATTAATATTAATTGGTTTTTTGGTTAATCGGCTTCAAAATGATACAAATTTACTGCTTCTTACACAGTAAACAGATCTTCAAGTATGTTTTACTATCGACGGGGAAATGCTTGCGCAATTGAATGTCACAAGAAAAAATTTTTCCTGCCGTGTAACAAATATGTTGCTTAATATGTCGGATAACATCTTATATAATCATTTTGATTACTTATACTGTCTTTTGAAAACTTGGCATTACAAATTTCACCTTTTCTAAGCGTCTTTAATGGAAGCCAAAAAATGCTGGGTTACTCTTGCGACTGCGAAGTCATACGTGCAGGGTGTTATTTGTCTCGCTAAATCTCTCATGCGTGTAAAGACAAAGTTTCCCCTTCTCGTTCTAATGCTGAATCTTGAGGGTGGAGAAACTGATATTACTCGCGAAGATTATGATGAGCTCATTAAGCTCGGTTCTAGCTATCATTTTCAATTTATTTACATAAAAGAGATTAATCGTGTTCGCTCTAACGCGACTCGGTATATCTGGGAACGCTTCAGGAACGTTTCGACTAAACTTCGTGTCTGGGAGGTCGAAGGCTATGATCTTGTAGGTCTCTTGGACGCAGATATGTGCATTATGCATAATATGGACGAGCTTTTGGAGTTGGATTTGGATGACAACACTATCGCTGCGTGTCACGCATGTGTATGTAATCCGCTTAAAATTAACATGTACCCTGCGAATTGGTATGTTATTATTTTATTTAAACCTTTAATAATTGGTTTATATATGAACCTAAGTTTTAAGTAATTTAATTACGTTAATAGGATTCCAGAAAATTGTGCATACACAAATGGACCAATTCATCCAGCTTCCGCTAGCCAAGCACCAATTACTAATTCTGAAAGTTATTTCAACTCTGGACTGATTATATTACGTCCTTCTAAATCAAAATTTAATGAAATACATGACCATCTTTTGAATCATGAAAACCCTGATAGTTTACTTTTTGAGGACCAGGATCTTCTTAATGAAGTCTACAAAGGAAATTGGATAGGATTGCCTTATGTTTATAATGCTTTGAAGACATTACGTAAATGTCACCCATTGATATGGTCAGACAAAAGTGTAAAGAATGTTCATTATATACTCGATGATAAGCCGTGGAAGGAGGATATCGAAAAGATGAGGGCAATGACAGTGGATGAAAGGAGTGACATTTGGATCTTAAATAATTGGTGGTGGAAAGTATATAAAGATGAAGAATGGAAGGATGAAGATTTTGAAGATGTTACAAATTAGACATATCATGATATAAATGCTGACACTAATAAAAAATTAAAGTTAACTTCTTTCAGATGATGTTTTAAAATCTGATAAGCATTTTATATGTAACAACTTGTATGACTGTATTGTTAATATGGCAATGGTGGCTGCCATCATGTTGGTGAGCAGTAAGTTTAATTATTATTAAAGATTATTTTTAACTCATTTCAAACTGGATTTAAGAATAAAATTACCAATTCAAGTTATAAACATTAACAGGATGCTCATCATACATTCTCCATCATCCATAGCAGTGTTATAGTAATAGATACAATGTTAAATGTGCCAGGGTCTCATTAATAGTCCCAATACATCAACTACTCGTTGCAATAGTTGATCAGTTTATTGTTCCAACAGCTGTTTGTGAAGAATTTGAGATGTGTGATTGCCGGTCCAGACAGCACACATCATGTTAGAAAATTACTGGGTTTTTGGTATTTGCCAACCAATCGAGCATGTACTAACTGGTCAATCTGCCTGTAAGCTTGTCTATTAATCAACACTTTTTTTACAAGTGTCATATCTGGGTAGCCTCGTCTCAGAATAACATCAATAGTTACAGGGAAGATCTCCGTTGCATACGCAGATGTTATTTCCAAGGCTTCAGATAATTTTTCAATATTTGAAGTAATTTCAAATATGTTTTAACAACCTCATTTCGCAGCTTTACTTTCAGTTCTTGGGAAGCCATAAAGTTTACACCCTATGATTGGTAAATTATTCGGCGCAACTCCCTATTACTATTGGATATTGTAACCCAACCAAAGATACGTATTATAACGTAACATATGATTGTCTTTACCATATTAATATTACAAATTGTTACAGTAACCGCTCTTAAGCTTTCTGACATTTTTACATCTAGATCCAACATTTTAGTTGTGGAATATTTCTCAATTATTGGCTTGTCAGTTTGTGAGTCAAAATTATTCTACTAACAAGATCTTGTGTTCACTGCCTCTTTGTGTGGCCATAAGTTTAAGTATTCTTCTTTTGATCTTTTTATACAGTAAATACCAACTAAAACAGAACAGCTTTATGTTCAAACAATTAAAATAAAGGTTTTGGTTTAATTAGCTGTTGTTGAAGTAAAATGCATGAGATGTTATCGTCTATTACAGCAAGCGCGTTTTTTGTCCGGGTAATCTATATTTACAGAATAACCGTAATTTGTGAACCAAGCATAAGAAACATCCAAAATTCATAAGGAAATATACGTTCGGAAATATCCATGGGATGCTAAATTGTATGCGTGTTAGGCATTTGACCTAATTTTTACAATTCTAATAACAATATTTACGAAACAAATAATATCTCTACGACAACTAATGTATACATATATTAAATGTTTAAATTGCTTAAGTCAAAGACAACGCAAGGTAATGGACAAACGTGACACTCAAACGGCGATCACTTGATTTTGATCAGGTAAATTATTTCACGTGTAAATACAAATCATATTTCGCGCGTGAAATAATACCCAACGATGTTCACCCCCAATAATATTTACACATTATTTGGGTTTGTACCATGACAGCACATGAAATGTTGCAAGTATGCCAGAATCCACGCTCATCAGACACCAACCACAAAAGGTGTTAGTTCATCCAGACAGCAGGACGGTGGCCACGGAAGTTGGAATCCGCTAAAGAGTGTGTCTATGCTGAACTCAGAGATCGAGTTCACATGGAACAATCTATACTGCAAAGCATAAGCTATGTACCGAAAAGTCTTTGACGTGCCAGAAGTAAATGTACTCAACGCTTGATTAAATGCCAGAATTATTTGTTTCCGAGGTAAGCATTCGCATTCGTTGGTATTATTGATTAAAATGATACTTAATCTAATGTTGTATATTTAATAGTTCCGACATCATGTCAAGTTCGTGTGACGGCTTTTTTCAAATCACGCAAGAGCTAGAAACAAACGAGTATACGATTGTTATACTATATATGTAGTCTTTTGTCTTATTTGAAACAAACGCGGGGAACGAAATTCCAGATATTGCAAGTGATCTGTATATTATTTATACTGCTGGACATCTTATGACAGAAACGACTGACGATGTGCGATCCTGGTCTTCTCAATCGATGAATTTGCGTAAACCAAATGCAACTATATGAATCATTTACCCTTTATTGCACCAGAAGTCTTCTGTACTTGCAATTTTACTCGGAAAATCAGATGTTATTCGACTGCTACGGACGAACCACCATTTAAAGGTATCTGCAACATTATGACCAGCGATACTAGAAACTTGCCGAGCGATGTTGATCCTGACAAGCGTCCAGATGTAGAGATATTGTGGAATGATATTAACAAGCTCATGTAAAAGGCTATCAATGACAACGCATGGAAGACAATACCAGCTTCTCGAGAAGGTGAACGAATATTCTAGTAATCCCTTAATTATAGGAGATTCGGCTGCAGAGTATGAAGACAGCAGCCGGTTACGTATAAAGTCAATTTATGATATTAGTATTGTGGCCATTGTTTTATAATGACTCTCCGTAAGCGTTAGTAATAATTTAAATCTAACGTCATCAATTTATTAATAAGAAATATGCAACATACGAAATCAAATTGCGAAACTAATGTCAGTAAACATTCACTGCAATCGTGTGTTCCAAGACATATTCACAATATCGAATAAATATGATTGAAACAAACTAATAACTTACGGCTGAAACATAAACTTGTGTTTTAACATCGAAAGAGGCATATATATACACACATAGTATGCGCTGGTTTTTTTTTTTTTAAGAAAAGCATGTCTCCGAATAAATAGTTAACTTCTTTACAACTTTGACTGATTCTTTTCAGCGTCTTTGCCATCATAAGTGGCAACAAGACTTCTCTTGCTGAATTGATGCTGGGTTATAACGAGAAGACAAAATAAGAGATTAGGATACTTATGGCAATATATTACTTACTGGCAGAGTATCTCAAAAGAGCGTAACTTACCGCGACATTAAACGTCGTGTCTTTATCGTTTTCACGTGATTCCATCGGAATATATGACCTGACAGGCGGGCCCGTGTATGCTTGTCTGGGACGCCAAATTTTAGATTCCTTATCCTCTAATGACTCTTTCCAGTGGGCAAGCCATCCAGCAATACGAGGAATGGCTACAAGAAGAGAGATAGCGTTGATTGTTAGTAATCGGCTTGGGATTTGCGATAGCGTTTATTAATCAAGCATACCGAAAAGCACTGGGAACATGTCAGTCGGGAATCCCATGGCCTTATAAATTAGTCCAGAATAGAAATCAACGTTGGGATACAACTTCCTCTTGACAAAGTATTCATCGGTCAAAGCCTTTTTCTCTAATTCAATCGCAACGTCAATGAGCGGTTCATTTCCACACACTTCAAACACCTATTAAAAAAAAAACCACATATAACCTCCGGTTTTAATTATATCTTTAAAGCGTCTAATCATTCACCGGGCTTTCCGACTCGCAAATCATAATACAAACCTCATAAGCAATATTTCTAACAATCTTTGCTCTAGGATCATAGTTCTTGTATATTCTATGTCCGAAACCGAATAGTTTTCTCTTCCTCTGTTTCACTTCTTCCAAAAACTGAGACACCTTCTCGGTCGATCCAATTTCTTCCAACATTCTCAACACCGCTTCATTGGCGCCTCCATGGAGAGGGCCGTACAAAGCTGCTGCTGCTCCCGCAACTGCGCTGTATGGGTCAACAAGAGAAGATCCAATATGACGCATTGCTGCCGTCGAGCAGTTTAGCTCATGGTCTAGTTAGTTAAATAAAAAAGTCAATATAATTGTTGCATATATTGGACACCAAGTTGCAATCACGGATCACTTGCCAGCATGAAGAATAAATAGAATGTCAAGCGCCCGTGTTAGTTTGGGGTTGGGTTTATAGTTTTTTTCTGAGAGATGATCGAGCATGTAGAGAAAGTTTTCCGTGTAAGTGAAATTATTCTGTGGTGGATTGTAAGTACTGTGAAAAAATAAGGGATGAATGATAGTTAGTAAGTAATGAGCGTAATTCTGACGTTTCCGTTTTTACGTTTTACACCACATCAATCAAGCAATTATAGACTATTACTTACCGCCCAATCCGGTGCCGATACGCTATGCTGCAACGTAAGCGGAGAAAAGGGATTAGCAAAATAAAATATAGAAAATAGCAAAATAAAAAACAGTGTTGTAAAAATACTCACGCAGCCAGTGTTGGTGTTTTCCCCAACAATCTAAATATTTGCTTGTTCCTCGCTTGCTCGTTTTTAGTGAACAAGTCTGACCCCTAAGGATGTAGACACACGCGTCAATCTCCCACGTACTATATTCAATCTCCCACCTACACACATTCCAATTCACTGACTATTACATACCACTAAAGCAGGATTAGCATCAGGATGGAAAGTGCTCATTGCAGCAATGCCAGAAATAAACATTCCCATAGGATGTGCATCATAGTTAAAATTACGCATGAGCTCGGCTACGTTAAAGTGCACAAATGTGTGATGCATAACTTCATGAACAAAGTTGGTGTATTGGGTCTTTGTCGGAAGTTCGCCATAGATGAGGAGATACGCAACTTCCAAGTATGTAGACTTTTCAGCCAATTGCTCGATTGGGTACCCGCTTCATGATTGTGGAGAGGGGGGAGGGGAAAAGTAACCGCGATAGATTGATTTAGTCCAGTCGTCAAACATACAGTATGTGGGCATGCTTTGAAAATATTACCGATATCTCAGGACTCCGGCATCACCGTTAATGTAGGAAATCTTGGATTGAGCAACCGCCGTGTTCTGATAAGCTATAAAAATTTGACACGTGATAAGGATCTGCATCACATAACAAATAATCGAATAAGGCAAAGAAGTAGAAAAAGTAGACAGTACCTGGATCATACACCCTGTCAATATAGGATACAGCGTAAATGGTGAATCGTTGTTGGTTCAAATACCTTAACCACTCTACTCACCTTAAACCTTTGCCAGTTTCATCTTCTTCTCTTGAACCCATTGTTCCGGCGGCCTTCATCTCTTTGAATTTTACGGCAGGAATAGTGTTGTTCGTGATTGGAACTTCATAAATCTTGTTGGTACGGTTATCAAGAACGGTGAGCGATTGGGTGTTCTTGCTATTTAACGATGTAGTCGTTGAGTGGATGTTAGCTTGCCCGTGACTTGCTATAATTCAATTTCCTCGGAACAAAGCAGCTTGGTCGATTGAAATACCTTCGGGGCAACACTACCACAGAAGTAGATTGAGCTGCGTTCGTGCCGTCCGCTGTCGTCGGTTTAGGAAAAGCCCACGAGACCCCGGTAGCATTGTCAATCAGAGTGAGAGAACTGTATATGATCGAATTAGAAATACGTTGAATTAAATTATTTTACCCATAGAGTATAAGCTAAAACTCAAATCCTATGTATTCTGCATGCAGCAACACTAACTCTTTGGTATCGTCTTTCCCCATGGTTCAAGTATATATCAGATAAAGTGCTTTGTATAATATGAGACTTACAGCAACAGGTTGGAAAGATCAATCAAACGTTTAAATACCCGAGTCAAAGATCAAGATCTTGTCGCTATTTAGCATATGCGATGTGCATGCCACATGTTTACCGATAATCATTACCGATTACAACAGGTAATTTTCAAATCTTGTGAATCTTGTCCAACAATGATAGTGATGTATGATCGGGTGAATCCGTTCCGGATGAAATCTGTGTCACATTCAAGGAAACAATTCTGGCATAGATTAGTTCGCATTATCATGTTATCCCACGTACACTCCCCCCTTGAATTTAGTGATCGACATTACATAATATTAATGAACTTTTTGGTATGATTATAGTAACGTGTTTCGGGGTCGGAAGTTCTGTTTATCAGAACAACTGCCAAATCTTTTTCGCGAAGGTAACAAAGATCTTTTTTTTTCTATATTGTAAATTTACCTGCAAACAAGGGCCGACTCAGCCGGTTTGTTTAATTGAACGACTGATCCTCCCTCTATAAACGATGACGCATCATGACGCATGTTAAAAGTAGAATGTTGACATTTTAACATGCCACCAATTTAACCGAAACTCTTTTGGCTTTATTCACGTCAAACGTACACGGAAAGAGTGGCGTCGCTGTTATTCAAGTTTGGTTGGAGAAATAAGGTAAGCTTGACCAACCATTCGACAATACCTATGTTTTTGCTATTCTCTTATTTGTCATCTGTTTCTTGGGCGTTAACATTTCGGTAATTTCTTTGTCTGTCGGAATGCAATTCCGATTATTGTTGTATGCTCAAACTTACTGGATGCAATTTTCTGACATCAACATGAATAAATAAACAAGGTATAAAGAATGCATTATCAAAAAGTTCTAAACAACGTTTATTCGATAAAATGCCTAAATAAGCGCTCAAGCTATTCCAAGAATTAGTAGTTTGACTCGTCGTTACAAACATCTGAGATTGTCACACAACAACTTTTGCATTTTGCATTTTTTGAAAGATTGAGAAGCCGCGTGTCGTTTCGTCTAGCGGAATCCTTGTTATTATTTGTTAGGTATATTTGTAACAGCAGCCGGGGACGCGGAAAAAGTGTTTTTACTACCGGACTAGTAACCGACTATAACAATCCTTACTTGTATTCAAAATTTTTTTTAAAAAAAAAAGTTTTCTACTTTGTGCAAAAAAATACCATCTGCTTGATGCCGTTCAAGCTTTCTAAATAAAAACTTGTATCTTTATAAATCAGTTAACAATCTGTGTCCCATGCATCAACGGTATATACAATAAATAATTTAATTTTTGAGTTTTAATAAAACATCACAATCAACAGAGCGAGACAAAAATAATGACTTGACTGTTATGCGCGTATATGCAGAATGCATGCCAACGTGGTATGCGACAGCTAATATAAATGCGTACACGCCAATTGTGCGTACACCAAGTTTGTCAGAGAGCCTCCAAAAGTTGACGTTGATACTGAAAAAGATATCAGTATGACGAATATCTCAAGTCGAAATCAGGTAAGAAAGCGCTAAATATATCTTTGTTGGGGAATAGTTAGAAAATTATCAGTGCATTGCAAGGGGTTGTCGTTGCTTGGGGCAGAGCTGAATCACAAAAGAGTGGTTTATACTGTATATAGCCTCTTTAACGATGAACATGAAATTGGGTTAATAGAGGCGAAACGTAGAAAGGATAGTAAACATTATAACAGCGTGAGGAATAATGTGTACGTCGTTGATTGGTAGAAAGAAGAGCTAGAACTTAACAATGTTTGTTAATTATCTTACGCGGGAGACTCCATTAATAGGCTTATCTCATACTCAACCATCCCCTGTTATTTCCTTCCCACCCCCTGACAATGTTGAGATACTGTGAGTACTATGGATTGCATCATATCAAAATAACTCTTTATTCAAATTTTTTTATTATACCCGTCTGAATAGGTAGTTGAACATACCTGCTATGATCAAGCCGAAACACACACAAGTAGTTTTTCTCCATCTTTTCCGAAAGTTGTTTGCTGAAAGAGCGATTGATAAATGGAAACAATCGACATTTTATCTGTCACTCTTACACGTATAAATGTGCTTATAGTATTATTCAGCCCTCATCGCCGCCAGGACGAACTGATTACAAACCCTACGGAAAAGGTAGTAGCTATCCTGATACGATAAATTCCTGTCCGACTGATAGTTATTTTCAACACCTCGGCAGGACTAAGGATACATCTTTTTCGTATATGCTTACACAATTGCCTCATCTAATGTAATAGTAATAAGCAAGTCCGGAAGCACCGATATGTTGTCGTCTATCGAGAGCGAGAAAAAAAATCCAAGTTGTGACGATAATGCACGTTTTTGCAAGCGTAAAAAGAACAAACTATAATGAATAGGTGAGATTACCATTAATGCCCCTTTTTCGTGGGCCATACAATCACTTTCGCAATG